CTCACCTGACCCTGGTGTCCCCAGTGTCCCCGTGTCCCCCGTGTCCCTCACCTCACCCTGGTGTCCCCACGAGCCACCTGATGCGCCCGGACTTTGGCCACCAAGATACGAACGATTCTGATGAACACCAGGAAATTCACCTGGGGGGGGGGACAAGGGGAACCCAAACGGGGACCCTTTGTCGGTTGGGGTTGGGGACATTGTCACCTCCTTGGTGTCACCTCCTTGGTGTCACCTCTTTGTCACCCACCGCCACTGCCACCAGGATGGGACAACGGATGATCCACCACACGGCCACCTTCTCGTTCCTCTCCCAACACCTGAGGGGTGGGATGGGACATCTCAGTCCCCACTTTGAGGGGGTGGGGACATCACGGTGACACCTGTGTCCCCCTCTTTGGGGACATCACAGTGTCCCCTTAAGTGTGACAACGAGTGTGCCACCACCTCACCCTTCGTTCTCGTAGAGGTACCTCACCACCACCCATGGTCCCACGAAGAGCACGGGAGCTCCTGGAAGGTTGGGTGACACTTGGTGACACTTGAGGTGACACTTGGGGACATTTGGGGACATTTGGGGACACGGACTCACCCCAACCCAGGAGGAGGAAGGCGGGGAGACAACGTTCACCCGAGAAGGTGGCCAAGACCAGGAGCTTGTGGAGGAAGAGACCCTCGGCCAGGAGCCACCCGTAGTTGGCCCCCACGCAGTACTGGGTGACAACCTGGGCCAGGCGACACCCGGCCACCGCTTGCTGTGGGGACATTGGGGACATGGGTGTTGGAGAGGGACCAGAGTGGAGGTGGCACCAACAACGGGGTGGGAATAACGTGGTGGTGGCATCAGTTAGATCAGGATGGTGGTGGCATCAGCGTCAGGGTGGCACCAGCATCATGGTGGGACCAGGCTCATGGTGTCACCAGCATCATGATGGGACCAGGTTCATGGTGCCACCACCCTTGTGGTGTCACCAACATCATGGTGTCACCAGGTTCATGGTGCCACCAGGTTCATGGTGCCACCAATATCATGGTGGGACCAGGATCGTGGTGTCACCATCCTCATGGTGTCACCAACATCATGATGCCAACAGGTTCATGGTGGCATCAGCATCATGATGGGACCAGGTTCATGGTGCCACCAGCATCAGAGTGTCACCAGCATGATCATGGGACCAGGTTCATGGTGTCACCACCCTCATGGTGTCACCAGCATCAGGGTGTCACCAGCATCATGATGGGACCAGGAT